GTGTGGATACTAGGAACTGAACCTGAGTCCTCAGCAAGAGCAGCCAGTGCTCTTAACTGCTGAGCTATCATCTCTCTAGCTCCTCGTCCTAAAGTTCTTGATTCATCATGGGTTGATAATACTTCCAAGTTATCATGAAAGACAGACCTGAACCAGGCAGAAGCCCTATGATATTCTGGTCTCCTCAATGGGCAGCAATACCAATGGCCTTAGAAATTGTCTCAAAACAGATAGTCTTCTTCTATTATTTATAAACTTAAACTTTCTTTTCATATATTTATACACAAGTGACCTCTTAAAGAGGTCAACTTTATGGGCCAGAAGTTTTCCACATCATTAGGTGCAGGTCAGAAACAGCTTTTCAGGTTGAAAATGCTGCAAATAGATGGATGGAAAACGGTTGCTATGAGCCATTATCTGGAACATGGGAATGGACTTTCACTGGGCTATTATTGTCCATGACTTTCACCTGCCTCTGCTAAAAGGTTAGCTAAGTAATCCCCGAGTCAGAGATAGAAGATCGGCAGACTCTCTAAATTAGGACGTATGTCTGTCATTTTCTCCTCACAAAGGGCATCTCTCAACAATGTTCATCTAGGTTTCCTTCCTTACTTCTAAGCAGAATAAAATCCTTACAAGCACTGTGAGACTATCCTCAGTGCAGTGCCCTGCATGTGTTCATAAATATCAATCAGTCTTTGATGACTGAGACACGTTGGGGACTGAGACGTCAAAGGGGATAAAGTGTTGGAGGGATATATACAGACAGCATTGGAAGGGTGGAACACATGGCCATGTGGAGATCCCTGACTCACATCTAGCTTAGGTTCCTAATATCTTTCCTCACAAAATTATTGTTTTCATTTTTTGAAACATTCTAAATTTACATCTAAATTTACACCTAATTTAAGAAGGTACTTAAAGCTTTTTTATAAACTATAATACACAAAAGGAAAGTGATAAAAGCATAAATATATGGCATTATGAACAAATACTTCAAAAATTCCCATCATACAGATCAAGAAATAAGATTGACAGAATTCCAAAAATATCCCACATTTGTGTTCATGTCTCTCCCCACACCAGCATCTCCATGCCATGGTGATCATAAGTTTCACTTTTATGACAGTCTTTCATAAATATTGACTTAATTTTTTTTGATTTTTTAGTTTATGTGTGAGTATTTTGCCTGCATGTAAGTGCACACATGTAGTGCAATGCCCACCAGGTCAGAAGGGGGTGTTGAGGTTAACTGCCATGTGGGTGCAGGAAACTGAGCCCAGGGCCTCTGCAAGAGCAGTCAGTGCTCTAACTGTTGAGTCAGCTCTCCAGCCCCCCTAATATTGACATTTTAAAATTATCTTTAAATGGAATCATTTCTATTGCATCTGGCTTGCTGTTCTCAGGCTTATGTTGTTATCGTTTATGCCACTCTGTGTATGGCCATCATGTCATAGTACCATAATATTTCACTATTGCATAAACCCTGGCTCATCATCCATTTTGTTACTAGTGGATATATGAGTGACTCCTAATTTGAACAGTCCTTCCTACCCCATTCCCCAGTCACCTACATTCTTCTTTGGCAACACATTTTATAAAATACAATTGGGTTTGAGAGAGGGACTGGGGAGAGTCTGTTTAATGATAGCCATGATAAAGTTTTTCCAGAATTATCTTTTATGAACTCATTTGGCCAAACTTACATCTTATATGCAATCATATGACTATTCAATATCATGCTTAGAATTCAGCCTAGATGATTGGAGTCCGTATTTGTGTTCTCACATCAGACCAATCACCTAAACTAAAAACAAGCATTGGGAGAACAGGCAGAGCTGATACTTATGATGAAGTTATGTTTGCAAAAACCACGTGATGCTAAGTCCTGATCAAAAGTAGACATATTTGTGCAGTTGCCATGACCATTGTCAGGGCACAAAGATCTTTAGGCGGCTTACTTGCAGCTTGGGAGACTCTGTTTCATCCTTCTACTGCAGAGGTGAAGGCTGTATGGAAGCCTGCAGTGAAGACCATCGACCAAGACCGTTCCATGGGGGACAGAGTTTTATTGGGGATAAACCACTGGACTGCCTCCAGGAATCAGAAAGAGCAGCAGCTAGCAAGGGAAGACAGACATCTTGTACAGGCAGTTAGGTGCTTGGGTAACTTTCCATTCCTTAGGCTGGGCAGTTTAGCTTGGGATTGGTTGGTCCTGATAAGCAGAGGGACTTTCCCAGGCTAAGCTCAGACCAGCCATTTTAGAATATTGAGAGCTGCATTGCCATTTTAGGAGTCTAAAGCTGAGCAACTTAACAAAGGCCTTGAGGAAAAAGACCTCAAGGAACAGACCCTGCAACCACCAGCCAGGACTTCCCAAGCAAATAAGGTAAACAGTAAGAAGCTACACAGAGGCATCCCTTTCCACACAAAATCTTCGATGCCCATCAAAGGACCTACTCACTTGTTATCATTTAATAAATGTCTGGTGGATGAGCTAGAAGAAAATACATGAAACTGGCCTGGCTGGTTTTATGCAATTCCTTACTTTTGCAGCCAGTGAGAATCATTAGAATGCCATTCTGAGCACCACTCAGGCTCCCTGTGTCCTTCCTCTCTGGAAACATGCTGGGGGCATGCTCCTAAGCAGTGCTTCCTAGGAGGTTCCTGGCAAAGCATTTGTTTGCAGTTTTGCAGACACAGCTGTGAAGTGTGAGGAAAGGCAGTCAATTAAGATCCTGATTTATTTATGCCTCCTTTGTGTTTTCAATGGAATCTCTTGTTAAGGAGAGTTCTAATAATATGATTTATCACAATAAACAGCAGGGCTCTTACTTTAATTGATTTATCTTTTTCTCCATATAAAATCCCCGTTTCTGTGTTCTCTGTCAGCCTTTTCTGTCCTTTTTAATCCCCTGATCTTTGTTGGGTGATAAATTCAACAGGGACTAGATTTTTTAAAAATACAGCCTATGTCTTAAATCATTCATTTCCTCATCTGCTAAGTGCTGGCTGTAATCATCCCTTGCATTTACTGAAATTAGCATGGGCTTTAAACCATTAGCCAAAAAGAGGAGGATTTGGTGGGGGGGGAAGGCTCCTGCTGTTCTTTGTGGGTGAAACAGTTTCCGTTGTGTTAAGATATTTTGATCTGACTTTAATTTCCTAGCTTTAATGTATTCTTAATAGTTACACATGGAACAGTTTGTCTTAAATGATAGCGAATCTGTGGCAGTAGAGTTATATCTGGTCTTTAAAATGGATCATTTCATTTCACACATGCTATAGAATCTTGAATTTCACCTTTATGCATCTCAATTTCTTTACTAAAAGCTACTCTGTTGCTCCAAATTCCTACATCAATGCATTGGATATATGAAATTGTAGCTGTAATTGTTCACAAGTATGTGTTTTATAACATGTACTAATAGACTAATAAAATATATTGCAATAACAATATGCTCTGCCAGATAGGATTTCATCATGAGACTCCATTAACATGTTCAGCAGGCATCAGCTTTCGAGAGTGCCTTCCATTGTGGTGCAAAGTGAAACACTCTATATGAGTGAATGAAGAAAGTGGGATTAAACAGGCAATTCTAAGAAGGCTGAGTAGAATGGAAACGTACAGAAACTTGAATGGATTCTGACTGAGCGACTTTGACCTTCACTGTGTCGTCTCTTGCATTTTCACCCTAATCCCAGCATCACCCTCTAGAGTCCAGCTGCTGCTCTCCAGGAATGAAGCGCTATCCCAAGCCCTCCTGCAGGCTCTTGAGTACAGCCCCAGTGTCCCTGTCCTTAATCTTCAACTTCCTTAGGCAGGCATGGTGCTTCCTTTCTGACTCCACTCTTGTCCTGACCTCTGTAAGGCCACTCCACACTGCAAGTCCTGCCTTTCCAGGTCCTGCCTCTAACCTCTGCTCTTCCTCTCTAGGGAGCTTTTCCTTTCACCTCTTTACCATCCCTCTTTCCCTACCTAATCTTAAATGTGCTACAATCATCATAGGTTATTGAGTTAAGTAATATATTTATGGAAGTGTTTTCCTATAGAAAGCTAGGCTTCCAGAACATTAGTGACTTTTTAAGTTTTTATTTCTAAATTAGCTAACAGTGACAGGTTTCCTTATGGCATTCTGTTAAATACTTAGCTTTAGTTGCCCCTCACCCATTTCCTTATCTCCCATCCCTGCTTACACCCTTCTGCCCTCAGTTTCTCCCATAATTTCCATGTTGCATGTGTTCTGCTCCCCTCCTATCCATCTCCCTTAAAGCCTTTTTTTTTCCCTTCTCATGGACCCCTTTCTGGTTTCCTGGCCTCTGCACAATCACTCCCACATAAATACACATATGTAAGAATTAGAAGCTAAGATTCACCTGTGAGAGAGAACATATGATATTTTTCTGAGCCTGGATTACCTCGATATAATATTTTCTGGTTCCATACATTTTCCTTCAAATTTCATAATTTCATTTTTTTCTTATGACTGAATAAAATTCTTCAGTGTGTATGTGCCACATTTTTCTTATCCATTCATCAGCTGAACATGACTGACTTTTTTTTTTTTGAGGTTTCAATATTTTATTCAAGTTTTATTTTAGGTGATGTTAATTACAGCATTTGAAGGGGAGGATCTAATTCCACATAAAATGGAAGACTAAAATGTACCCATTAAATTGCTTTAAAAAAAAAAAAAAAGAGTGGTGAGAATAAAACAGAAGTCCAATTTAGATCTCTAGTGTTGTCACATGTGGTCACAATCACGCAGGCTCTGCCCAGCTCAGAGCTATAGATCCCAGAAGCTATTTCATACTCTGGTACAACAGCAAAAGAATAATAATGATAAAGGAGTAAAACACCACAACACGAAGAGAAATCAAGTCCTGAATTATCGCCTCTGTCACACCCAGCCTCTCCATCCCAAAATGGCACACAACAGCCAACCACACCTTGCAGACTACTTTTGGTGTCAAACAGGTGCTAACGGGCTTGGGTGGAAACGGTATAAAGATCTGTAAAGTCCCTTTCAGATGGGTGTGTGCACACTATCAAGCCGTGGGCTTCTCACGGTTAGGGTTGGGAAACCAAGGTTCGATGCTCGGAAGTCACAATTTCATCCACGGACTCACACAGTTTACAAAGGGCCTACAGTCATCAGCTTCCCCTTGTAGCCATTTCTAAGATTAAAAAGAGAAACCTGGCACCTGTAGGGGGCTCCTCCCAAAGTCTACAGCTGAAAGGACTTTTTTGGAATTGGTTTCTTCTGTACCTCTGAAATGGTAACACACTTTCTTAAAGCTGAATCATCTTTAACCTGGAATCTAACATGATATTTAGCAATTCTTGCAACATTAAAAGGTACACTAAATTCTGAAGGTAGCTATGCTGCAAAATAGTTTAAAATTAATGATTGTACAATATTCATTTATGCTTGAAACTCCAGGCCTAGACCAAGCTTGTGGCCACCTGCATTGATGTTCTTGCCATCCAGTAGAGCTGACAGTGTCAGTTTGATACCTGGCTTGAGGGTCTGAGTGTACCCTAAACTGATCAGGCTGGAGTTGTTCACTTTGGCCGAAAAGCAGGCATCTGGGTCGATCTGATACTTGGCTGCTATTCCAAAGCGAGTGTTACTGTTTCCTGCTGTCCAGGCACGATTGACAGCGGTCTCCAACTTCTTGTTCACCTTCTGGTAAATGGAGCCACCAAACTCTGTCCCATCGTTCACGTTGGTATGAAGCTGGAATTCGTCAGTCTTGTAACCAACTGCAAAGTTGCTCTGGGTCACCCGTGACTTCGAGGTCTCAAAATTCATCTGGTAGCCAGCAAGCCAGCCCTCATAGCCCAGCACCAGAGCGCCCCGGATCGAGGGCCCAGCGATGTGAAAGTCCACATCACAGCCCAAGTTGATGTGCTCCCTCTTGTACCCTGTCTTGATTTTAGCATTTTTTTTCCCAGTGTTAGGTGAGAAGGATGAGTCAAAGGTCAGCTTCAGTCCACGCGCAAGCTGGTCTTCCACGGTGATCTCTGTGCCTAGCGTGTTGTCCATGTTCCTCTTCTCCGTAAACGTCAGGCCATACTCAGTCCACCGGTACTTGGTTTCCAGGCTGCCGTTCACTTTGGTGGTCTCCGTGTTGGCTGAGCCTGAGCTGGTGAATTCCAGACCATTCTCAGACTTTGTCTTCAAATCAAGTTTTATTAAGCCAAATCCGTAGCCTTTGGTGAAGACATCCCTGGCGGATTTGCCAAGATCAGCACATGTGGGAGGCACAGCCATCTTCTAGGAGGCAGTGGTGGCGGGAGCAGCGGCAGCTACGGCAGGGGCTGCAGCGCGGAGGACCAGAGCGCCATGACTGACTTTTAATGATACCTGCTAATGACTCACTTTATCTCCCTGGACACACGTTTATAAAGGAGGAAATTTGGGCTGATGAGAGAGCTCAGTGGGTAAAGGCATTTGACACCAAGCCTGATAACCTGAGTTCGTTCCTTAGTCCCCACATAGTAGAGGAGAGCCCATTCCTGTAAGCTGTCCTTTGACCTCCACAGATGCACCATGGTGCATGCATACATTCTCATGTACACACTAAATAAATACATGTAATTTTAAGCATACACACAAAAACCATATAGTAGAAGAAATTACTTTCTCTAGAACATTTAGCAATAAAGAAGTGCTCAGTTGCCCTAGAGTTTACTATACTTCATGAGTCAGGAGGATGTTCAGGAGCTCACTCTGTGCCTTATCCAAGTACTTGCCCCCAGCACAATTGATAATTGTCCCTGACTCCTCATGTAAGCTGTGGTTTTCAGTGACTCCTCTCCTGACCTGAATGAGTCCATTGTCTTACTTGCACAGTATGATAGCTCTAACTTGGAGAAAAATACTCATGAATTCTCCAGAGATAGATGAGAGATTGATTTCCAAAGTAGGGATTGATTACATTTCTGGATATGGGCTGATTTAGGGGAAAAGTAGAGTCAATGAGGCTGATGTAATGGTTTCCTCTGTAAGCACTGATTCAGTTAGCCACTCATTTTAATTGAAAAAGGTACAGAAACTCTTGGACACGTTCCTGTGGCCTTCATCACAAAATAGGGTTGAATAGTAAAAATAGTCAAACTTCCCTTTGGTGAACTTGTGTTCCATATTTAGCAATGCTAACTCTAGGGAAAAGAAATCATCTTAGTAGATTATGTACTGTGTTATAATATACCTTGGTTTTTAAGTCAGAAAAATAAGCAGTTTATTTACATGGGATATTACAGGTTATCAGAGAGATGTTTCTTTTGCCTGTCTCTACAAAGCATCTTTTATCATGCACCTCTCACCCCTATATTTTTACTTGTAAGGGAGAAATTTTCTGGGTTAAAGGATATTACTATTTAAATCATTCCTTAATGCAAAGGCTGTTCTGTTTTAACCAGCTTGGGTTCTAAATACCTGGGATACCTTCTCTTACATTCTGAGTCTAGGAGGGACTCAAAAATTTGCATTTTTAAAGCATCATTGGTGAGTCTGGTATATGGATTATAGTCTCATAGATGTCAATCTAAATGTATGCATTACTCAAGAATAAGGTATTAGCTTCTAAAGTCTTAGATTTACTTGGTGCCAGTTTTTCCCCTAACATATTGCGGTGGTTCGAACAAGAATGTCCCCCATGGGCTCCAAGTATTTCGATGTTTTGTTCCCAATTGGTGGCATTGTTTAGGGAGGTGGCCATGCTGGAGGAAGCATGTCACTGGGGGCAGGCTTAGGGAGTTCCTAAGCCTTGCCAGATCTCCAGTCACTTTCTGCTTCCTGTGCCTCATTGAAGATGTGAGAGCTTAGTTTCTGTTCCTACCCCAGCCACCTCTGCCGTTTTGCCTCCCTGCCATGATGGACTCCTGCCCCTTTGGAACCGTAAGCTAAATAAAATCTTCCTTTTATAAGTTCCCTTGGTCATGGTGTTTCTATCATAGCAACAGAAAAATAACTAATACACATATGTAGGGAGGTTGAAACACAAAGCAGTCAAATTTCAAGAGAGTCACACAGGAAGGGAGCCTGTAGTGTGAGCTGGTGGCCTTCAAAAACAGACAACTTTGTGATCCGACTGAGTGATTAGAAGTCAGTATGAGTACATTTGGTGCAGCAAGGCCAGAACTAGGGTAATGTGAATGAGGAGTCTCGTGGGAGTCACTTTCTGGGTTGGGTAGGAACAAGTCTTTTCTTCCTTTCTGTACCCCTAGGCATGCCAGTCATTCCCAATCCCTATGAAATGGCTCACAGTGAGTTCCACCTAGCAACCATGCCCTTGGGTGATGCCCTACCCTTGTGTGGGGGTTAAGACCTGGTGACTTATTTCTAATGCATAAAATATCAACAGCAGAAGTGATGGACTAGGTTATGAAAGACTCTGACTTCCACCTATTCATACACTTGTTTTCCAACTATGATGAAGTAAGGCACCATTTTTGGCTACCCTATTGAGACACTTGTGTGACTCAGAACAGAGAACAGTCTCTAGTCTATAAAAACCAAGGCTCTGAGTCCACTAGATCCCAAAGAACAAAATTTGGCCATGATTGCATGAGTGAACGTGGTAGTGGCCCTTCCATGAATGAATGTTTAGATAAAAATCACAGCTTCGACTGATACCTTTATTGTAGCCTTGTGTGGGACCCTTAGCCAGAAGGCCCAGCCAAGCCATGTCCAACTCTTGATTCCCCCAAACTGTGAGCTAATAGATATTTCTGGTTTAAGTCACTGACTTTTGAAGCAATTTATTTTGTAGCAATAGATAGTTAATGTAGTGAAGGACTTTGGTGATGGTGGGGGTAGTGGAGCCTGAAGAACAGTGCAAAAAAAGGAGGGGTCAGAAGCTAGTGACAACACACCGCAACCGCCCCATGCTGTGTCCAGGGACAGTCCCTCCTGCAACAGTCACTTCCTCTCTCTCTTCCTCTCCTTACATTGAAGAGTTGCCTTTGCAGGGTGAACTGCTAAACCCTCACACCTACCCTCATACCGCCATGTCTTTCGTGACCCTCTCCTCTAAAATTTACTGTGGTTCTCACTGAGGAAGTACCCTAACCAATCCTAGCAGTGTCTACCATAAAACCTAACTCTCCTCTGCTCAGAAGCAAGAGTCATTAAAAATACAAAAATTAAAGCACAAAACATTTCAATAATAGGGGGCAACTAACTAATAATGGAAATTCAAAATGGTGCAGCCACTTCAGAAAATTCTATGGCAATATTGTATATATTTCAGTGTAACTCATGTGCACCATATGGCCCAATAATTGTGCTTTTAGGTGTCTTTCCAAGACAGATGTTTAATGTTCATACCAAGACTTACATTCAATATTTATAGTATTTTTGTTCAAAAGAGTTGAAAACCAGAAACAATTCAAATATTCATCAACTGGTGAATAAATATGCCAGTTGTAGTGTATCTGTGTAATGGATTGTTACTCAACAATGAAAAAGAATAAACTACTGACATATATAACACAACAAATCTTAGCAGCATTATACTATGCAAGAGAAGCAAAAAAAAAAAGACTATGTGTTTCATTCCCAATTATGTAAAATTATAGACAAGACAAAACTATAAGGATAAGTCAATGACGACCATGGGTCAGAAGTTTGGGAGAGAAAATTGACTACAAAGAGACATGAGGGTAAGTTGGAAGAAATATGAATACCCTCTTACAGAATTATGGTGGTGGGTATGTGACTATACGTTTACCGAGATCCACTGAACTTAAACAGTCTGTTTGTTGCATATAAATTATATAAATATGAAGTGATTTAAGTTCTACTTTTTGTCATTGCGGTCATTGTTCAGCTCTGTTGTTTAAATGCAAGAATATGTAGTGCAGTGGGTGAAAGATATGTCAGCTGATAATGTGGATGCTATAAGCCAGCCATGAAGCAGGGTGTGCTAGACTGTTTTCTGTTGCTACAATGAAATATCTGAGGCTGGGAACTTCCTAAAGAAAAGATCTTTTTGTAAGCTCACAGTTTTGGAGACTGCAAGTTTAAGCAGCATGATGCTCATGCTGGCTCTGGAAAGAGCCCCCTAGCTACATTATACCATTCAGCTATTATCATGGCAAGAAAAAAAAATTATATATATATATATATATGTGTGTGTGTGTGTGTGTGTGTGTG